ACCAAGATGCGTTATGTAAAGGTACAATTCCCAATGAGAAATGTAATTGTGTTGTATACCTACAATGTACCAATAAAAGAATTTAACAAAAAAAAATTTTTTTCAAGTGCATTTAGCCAAAGAGAAAATTAAGTAGTACATTTAATATTAAATACTATAATCTATTTTGCAATGTCTAGACATTACACCTAATTAATATTTTAAAATGTGAAATTGATAGAGGTTTAAAACCAAACAACAAAAAATAATCACCCTCGCCCCAGACTGACTGAAGAAGTGTAAACCAGACTGCTGTTTTAACTCAGGAGAATGTGTCTTGTCTGCAGAGTTCCAGGGCGACAGCAGAGCCAGTGTGTTGAAGCTGTGCAATTTTCTATCTCAGCACAAGAACTCTGGCAGTCAGAGCTGCGTCAAGATGACGGTGGAGGTGCAGCTCCTGTAGGAGAGTGTTCAAGGGTGGGTTGGCTTTGCCCAAGAGACTATTCCGGTATTCCATGTTCCAGTCCTGAGAGTCATGACAATGAGTCCTTTAAGGGTGAGTTTCCTCTTTTCATCACTGCTTGGTTCCTGTGATCCATAGAGCATTTAGAAAGTGAAACGCCTTTGTAAGTATAGGACAAGAACAGAAACTTTGCAGTTCCTCTTCTGATTCTAGCTAACCCATGGAGAGAAAATGTCTGTGAAAACTGTCAAAGAGGAATGCTTCTGAAATATTAGAAGATTTTAAAATTGGAAAGTAATAAAATAAAGAAGTGAGAATTTTTAAATAGTAGGTTTCAATTCAACTCTTATTTCTGCATACTACTTCTGTTTAAGAAAGGATTAAAGATTGTGGAGGGGGATATCCACAAAATATGGTGAATGCTAAAAAATTTACTACAGTAAAGGACACATTGTCATTAGTCTCCTTCATAATACGCCCTTTCACTTTGATCACACTTATCCCATCATTCTTGTCACTTTCTGAAGCTGTTTTGGAAGTCTTTCCTGAAATGTCTTTAGGAGCTATGATAAAAATACAGTGAATGCTGCTGCCATGTGCTATTCAACAAAAAGGCTGGCTTGTAAAACTACTATAGTGTGTTCTCATATGCTTTATTCACCAGATCAGGCACCATACGACTTCTGGCTCTTCCCCAAAGTCAAAATGACCATGAAATGTAAACATTGTGAATCGATTCAGGACATCGAGGCAGCCACAACAGCACAACTAAACACACTCATGAAAAAGGACTTCCACAACTGCTTCAGAAAGTGGCCGGAACAATGGGATAAATGTGTTCCAAGTGAAGAGGAGTATTTTGAGAAAGATTAATGGCAATGTGCCTTTTACTGTATTAAGTTTTTTAAAAATTTAAACAGTCATCATACTTTTTAGTCACATTACATAATTCTGCAAGTTTATTCACAGTTTGGTAATTTGGTGGTAACAATGGGACATGTCCTTACTGTTCTTCCCTCCTGCTGCCTTTGGTAAAATAAATACACCCAGGGCAGTTCTAATGCAGCTGACTTTTTATGAAAATGGTATAATTTATATTATACCCAAGGCTCATTTGTGAATTTATTTTTCTCGAATCCTTCCTGGACTAGTTCAGCCAACGGGATTTTTTTCTTCTTCTGATGTAGAACATTTTTCTTTCAGTATTTAGCTATGATTAGGTGTCTTTCAAAATTTAGAAACAATTTATCATCGACTCTGAGGTGTTTGGATTCATTGTTTGTATGATGATTAATTCAATGGCATAACGTGGAGGTTACGAAAATTCACACCCTAGCAGTCAGGAGTTCCTAGGCAAATTGGAACAATGACTTTTCCCTAATACAGTCTCTGTCTTCCTGTGTTCCTCTGGGGAGATAAGCTTCTATTGCCATCCTACAGAACAAAGTAAAAGCTTAAAATTTACCAAAACTTGAGAATTTTTCAATCAGGAGGTAATTGCCTGCTTCTTGTGGAACATTGTTGTTAAAGGTATATTTAGGGGTTATATTAGTTTCTAGGCCTGGTGTAACAAATTATCATAACCTAGGTAGCGTCAAACAATGGAAATGTGCTCTTTCACAGTTCTGCTGGCCAGAAGCCCCAAACCAAAGTGTTGGCAGGGCTGTACTTGCTCTGGAGGGTCTAGAGAAGGATTTTTCTTTTTCTTTCTCTTTTTGTATCTGTGGCAGTTCACAGTACTTTGCTGCCACATCACGTCAGTCTCTGTTACTCCAATCTTATTTCATCCTTTCCTCTTCTTTGTTGTGGGAACATTTGCCATTGAATTTAGGGCTCATTTGAGTAATGTGATAATCTTAAGAGTCCTTTAACTATACATGAAAAGACTTCTTTTACTAAATAAAGTAACATCTCTAGCTTCTGGGATTTAGACATGGACATTTTTTGGGGAGCTACTGTTACACTTGCTACAGAAATTTTTTTCCTTAGGGAATACAACCTTTGCACACTGACACCAGTCTACTCACTCTTGAAGTGGGTAAAGATATCAGGACCAATCTGCCTTTGTTCCCATCTTTAACAGCCACCACCCAAAGTCAGTGATGGAGCAAGCAAGTTTAGCACATCAGTCAATTTGATATCCATATAAAAGTTACTAGGTGTAGGGGCTGGGGATTTAGCTCAGTGGTTCCGCTACCTGCTTTGCAAGGGCAAGTTTGATCCCTAGTACCGAAAAAAAAAAAAAGTTACTAGGTGCAAGCCCTTCAAACATGTTTTTAGCACCCCAATTTTGACTGGTTCCAGGGACATATGTCCTTTTCTGCCCCATCCCATTCTCATCACCTGTGCCCAAAGCCCTACCCATCCACCGAATCCTCTGTCCTGTGCCCTGGGTAAGTGGAGGAAAAGATTTATTGACCTCTTAAACTTTAGAATCCTGTCCCAAGACACAGGAATCCATCTTTTGTACTATAAACTACCCTGTTGGAACCTACTTGCTGAAGGTAATCATTCCTGGTTGTGGGTGTTGCTGTAGTTTGGATCTTGAATGTTGCCCAAAGGCTGTCATGTTAAATACTTGGTCCTCAGGATGGCACAATTGGAGGATGGTAGAACTTTTGAGAGGTAGAGCTTTATTGGAGGTTCTTAGGTCATAGGCATCATATTCCAGAAGAGGATAGTGAGATCCTCACCCTTTCTCCTTCCTCTCTTCATTTCCTAGCCTCAAGGTGAGCAGTTTTACTCTGCCACATGTTTCCACCATAATGTGCTGCCTTGCCACAAGCCCAAAGCAGTGGTGCCAACTGATCATTGACTGGAACCTTCAAACTGTGGGCCAAAATGAACCCTTTCTCCTTATAAATTGATCATCTCAGGTACTTTCTTATGGCGATAGAAAGCTAACACAGGTGTCTTCTGAGCAGTACAGTTCTGGGACCAATTATATATATATTAGTATAGTAAATTTATAATTGTATAGAAACTTTTACATCAAATAAATATCATTACAACACAGAATCAATATTTCTGATATCCCTGCTTAATAGTATTCTTTGAGAATGACTAGATGTTGTCACTTATATAGAGATATGTTCTATTTTGAAAATGATAGAAAGCAGATAATGACTTTGGAACATCAAGATTAATGTTCATAGGGTCAACATTTACCCTCTAGTTAGTATAATATTTTTTTTGCTTAAATTCTTTTATTGGTACATTTTAGGTATACAATACATTTACGTTTATCATTGAGTGCTTGTACCTGTACATGATGTATCTTGGTTCTTATTTTTTTCCCCATTACCTGTGCAGCCTTTAGTCAGTATAATGTTAAAGCCAGTTGTGCAGTCTACCTGGAGGGAGAATGAATTCCTTGTGCTTTTGGTCAACAAACAATATATTATAGGGAGTTCTATATCTGTTGCATTTATTTATTAAACTTCTTCTTAAATTGAAGAATATAGCAAAAATACAGAAAACTGCATTCATAAGTGCATAACCCAGTGAATTATCAGAAAGTAAACACACCTGGGTAATCACTATCCAGGCCAAGAAAAATAACATTGCCAGCCTCACTTTCTCAGGAAGGACCCTCAAGCCCCTTCTCTGTCACAACCCTGACCCTCTTCACCAAAAATAGCTGCTATCTTGACAGCTAACTGAATTAGTTTTGCCTGTTTTGGAATTTTATGTTGCATATATTCTTGAAGCCTTTTTTAATCATAGCGTCTGGAAACTATTCCTTTTGTGATATCCCATCTCAGAGGTCGAATAATTGTTTCTTTGTAGTTATCTGTCGGGAAGATGAATGGCTTACCCCATATATAATTATCATAAGAACTTATTTGTAATTTATGTGAAAAGTCAGCATGAAGGGTAACATTGTGACCTTGTGATCCAACATACTCGAGCAGATGAAATTATTAAAAAATAAAGATAAATGAGGACCAGAATTTTTATTTTGTGAATTGTCTGGTTCTCCTCGCTTTATTATTTCTTTCTTAATAGTGTGACTTTAGCCTTTGGGATATAATAGCATTCTCTTGGTTATTTAAAATCTTTTTCTTTCTGTTTGCTTGTTTCTTATTTGAGTGGATTATCCCCAACACGATATTTCAGAAAGAAATGACTTTAAAGCCAAAACATGTGAAGAGACTTGTATTTAATGACATAGTTCTAAAATTATGATTGATCTCAATTTCCATTAACATATATGAGCATTATATTTACACAATTCTAAGAGGGTAAATCAGGTGTGAGACATCACAAAAAGAAAAAGGAAAGACCATATTGAAGGTACAAGCAGGTGTAAGGCACAATTCAGTTTCAGAAATGTTTTTTTTGTTTTGTTTTGTTTTTTTGTACCAGGGATCGAACTCAGGACTTTGTGCTTGCACAGCAGGTGGCGAAACCACTGAGCCAAATCCCCGGCCCTCAGAAATGTTTAAATGGGTATGGGTATTGCATCTGAAAATTCAGGAATCTTATTAGTGTCTTTTGTTGATGATTGGGCCAGAAGTGATCTGATGTCTTTTTTTTTTAACTCAAGAAATCACTCTGGAAAATTTTGATATTCATCAGCTGTTACTGGAAGTAGAAAAGTTACTTTTTCAAGATATTGGGGACATTTGTGTATCATGTCATTTCAGAACTTCTGCAAAAACTCTACTTGCCCTTACATGTTTGTCCACTGTCTTCACTTCCTTCCTACCATTTTAAGAATTCCATCTTTTGAGTTAGTCCTTTGAATATTATGGTATTTTTCCAAGTGTCTGGGAATGGAAACTGGCTCGCTCCCAGGTGTCTCCTCTAGCTTTCTTGCAGTTCATTTGCATGGCTTAATTATATATGTTAGTTAATTGTCACTATTAAAAGCACAGATCCTGACCTGGAGGGAAGTGCAGGACAAATACTTAATTTCCTAGCTGTGATCTTAGTTTACTGAGAATAGAAAGCCCCTTCAAGGTCTGAGAGTACTTGATTAACATAGCGGGAGTTTCCCCAGTGTAGAAGAAACCCACCTAGCTGAGGAAGCTTGTATTCTACTTGTGTGTTTAAATTTGAGCACTACTTCTTTTGCATGAAGTTAAGGG